GTTTCTTATCTTTTAACTGTTTTATTTAATCAAAATAATTGACAAAGTTTGGCGAACATCAGATTGCACCAATTGATGCAAAATTTCAAACTCCAATAAGCATTCTTTATTTTCGAAATTTTGCACGCCATAACAAAATTTTTCAAATCACTTTCTGCCTATCATTTCTCCTCTGTTAAATCGATCATTTATTCGTCATACTGTTCCAAGCCTATCTCTACATTAAGTCTATTTTTGACCTCAAAACACAATTGCCCTAATCTACCCCAAATTCATTACTTCAAAGAATACAGAATTAAAAAAATATCTCTGATCTCTTCCGAAAGACTGACAAATTATTGCCTCTTGTCATTTTTGCAAACCACTATCCCCACTGTTTCGTACCGTGCTCTTATTTCAACCCAACGTGGAATGGAACGAAGATTGTAACGAATATGTTTAGTGTGGTTGTTGTTCGGTTATGAGTTGCTTTATTGTGGAGCCTTGGTTCGGCTTCTTGTTACAAGGCTCCTTTTTTCACTGATTCTATGTTAAAGGGGGCTGCTTATGTATATTTTTCCGTAGCTGTAGGTTCGAGGAAAGGGCCAATCAACGCCTTTCCCGAAGTAAGGTCCCTTTCGCGAGTTTCTATTGGCAGGTAAAGACCGGCGTCGCAGGTCAACGTGGGGAGTCGTCGGTCGCGTCAATGTTTCGTGATTGAGGGCACGACACCCACCATAAACAAAGAAACATTCATTCTACCCAGCGATCAGTAATTCTGTATGCACCAACTCGCCCATCTTCCAAGAATCAACTTCGTAACATACCTCACATTATATCCAACATTCACAAACATTCTCGTATACATAGCTACCTTCAGCAAACCCCAAAGAAATCAGTTTCATTTTTCACTTTACCACACAGTATTCAATTCCTCCTCAATCATCCCCCAAAAGAGGCAAAGCTTAACGAATCACAAAATTCACAAAAAAACATTCTCTCATACAGCTACATTCAACGAATCCCAAAGAAATCAGTTTTATTTTTCACCTGAGCGCACAATATTCGATTCCTCCTCGATCATCCCCCGAAAAGGGGCGAAGAGCTTAATTATCCACGATGCTCGTCGCGGGAGCGAATTTGTTTGCAACGCCAGAAGGAAGAGACGAAATAATTTCACAGAGTCGCCCGGGAGCATTTCTGAACCGGTTGACCCGCGCACTCCCGGCGGGCGAATTTTTTTCGAAGGAAGCTCGTCGATTATCCGCGTGGCAGAGAGAGGTGTGCAACGGTGTCCGAAATAATGCCGAGAGTCGCGGGGGGAAGAAAAAGTAAAACGTATGAAATAATCGCCGATAAATAACGAGGAGGAGGTCGTGACTCGCGCGCGAGTAACCACGTCCCAGGACCTCTCCTGGCTCGCGGAGCGAAAATAAAGGGGGCCCGATGCGAATCGATCGGGCCGAATATCGTAAACCCGCCTCCGCGCGTTGCCTCTTTTTCTCTTGCTTGCTTTTTTCCATTGAGCGTCCCGGGGGACTCCTTGAGACAGGATTTCTTGCTGGGAATTTAGAATGCAATTGTTACGCTGCCATATTGTATTTTGGTGGTGCTTTGTGTGCTTGAGATTTTCACTTTGGGTGCAGAGTTATGGTTCGTCATTTGTAAATTCTTCTTCTTTTTTCTTTAGTGTAATACTTTTGGTCGTTTATTTATGAGTAGATTTTTGTAGTTTTTGTTTTATTGTGGTATTTATAGTGGAAATATTATTGTATGCGGGCGATTTTTGGCGCGATCGGAAAGGGATCTTAAAAGTCGCTCCAATTACTGATGTATTGCGAATTTTCATTTCGTCTTGTTTTTGTTCCTCGCCGTGAACCGTTTCCTCGATCATTTCTTACCGTAAAAAAAATAATTTGAAGCATTTCATTTCTTCGAACTTTAAAAAGAAAAAATGAATATTCGATGCTTGTAAGTATTATCATTTGCAACTTCCTGACTTGATCACCTTTTAATTACATAAAAATTCACTTCTGGAAAATTGCTAATGGGTCATTTTGATGGGTTACTTAATTAGATGGAGACCGAAAGTTGAGTAGTTTCTGATGAATTTTAGTATTGTTTAACATCTCTGAAAACCCCTCGAAGCTTCTGCATTGTTCACAAATTGTCCTAAAATTTTTATATTTTGATCAACTGCGCATTGCTCACTCTGACACACTTTGTCTACATTTCAAGAATTACGTTCGCCCTTTTCGTTAACCCTAATTAAGTGAACACACGCGAATACACAAATCTTAAAAATAATCAAATACTTATTCTCCCTTTGTAAAAATGAAACGATTGATAATTTTCTGATTTAACTTCTCAATTGTTTGTACTGTTGTTTGCTCGTCGAGTACCGTGTAACGCTGTCTAATATTCTACGGTGTAAATTCAACGTGGCTACAATTAAACGACGATAGAAGCCTCGAGGTATCGTTACAACGTGTCGATTGTCGTTATTCCTTTTTCAAAATTCTTCACGCGCGTTTCATTGAGCCTTCACTCTCCAACAGATATTAAAAAGATCGCCGGAGGGTGATCGTATCATCGTCATCGGGTCATGGCATAGGTCAAAACGATGCGCAAATATGTTACTCACCTTGTGACGGCGAGGCATCATTGTCGTCATCAGTGTCTTGGTCGTTGTGTGTATAAATTCATAGAATGTTCCTTTCGCTTCTTTGAGAGGAGAGCTGAAATCGCGATGATTCGCCTCCTTTGATTGGCATTCTCGTAATATATTGCCGCCTCCCCCTTCGTTGCGTGACACAAATTGAGACGCAAATTGGATAATTTGCTACCTATTTGTTTGTCATTACCGGACCATTAATTTTACTTTGACGTTGAATCGTTTATAATACTTTGTTAAGGTGATACACACCGCGTTACGTGAAAATTGCACCTACGTTTATATACTTGTGTTTAACTAGAGATTACGGTGATGAAACTGATTTTATTCTGAGACGTACGATTTATTTTTTGGAAGTATTGGGACACTTGCTGAATGACAAGTGTGTCGAAATTTACCGAATTCTAGTGGGATCTATTGAAACCTGGTGAAATGTACCAAAATCTACTGAAAACTGCTGAATTATATTAAAATCTACCGTATTCCGGGTCTAATTCCAGAAGTTCTCAAAAACCAATCCGCGTTCCTCACCCCCGCCAAAAAATTGTATACAAGATATAAATTAAGCTAAACGAAAAACACAAGTCAATACACCAGTACACTTTCAACAAAAAACACGTATCTCGGTAAAAATTGTAATACCGCGCTGCAACCACACTAGTTATAATATTAAATTGAGTGAAGGGGTAACTGTTGTTATATCTTGCATCAAACCCCTAAACATTCAAGCTTCCATTAATTTACCGCTTGAAGCGTATCGAGTAGAGCTTAAAATAAAACAGATAAATACTACGTGCGCGCTGAACAAGCTCTTTATCGAAGACGAATATTGCACAAAAGATAAGTTTCACTTGCATTTTCAAATAATCCCCACGAATACTAATTTTCGAAATGAGAAAGTACTTAGCGTAACTCTTCGAAAGTTCAAAGCCTAACTCCCATAAGAACGTAGGAAAAAAGATATTCAGCGTCATGTCAAAGGATTGCCGTGAAATTCTGCAACAGTGATAGTCAGAAGTTTTTCGCTCGACGCATTTCTCTCACGACAATCATCCTCGTAAATGAACATATCCCACAAAACATCATTTCTACATCAATTTCACCTCGCTTACAAATCAACGAAGATTAGTATCTGAGGTAAATGATGGTTTCCACCTCCTTGATGCTTTCAAGCTTCCTTCGTCTCTTCATCCTCCTCTCGCTTTTCCGTTTCACTGTTTATGAGATTAGCAAGAACAGTCTAACCTCGTCGGTTTTAAACGATTTCTCACACAACGCGGCGTCAGATCAATCTTAGCAACTCTTGGACCATCCTTCATCCGTCATCCTATCGTTTCCCACGAATTTCATCGGAAAAAGCGTGATTACGTCACGGACTAGCGTGGAGTACGCCTACAAAACGAGGCTGTTGGCCTGTGTTGAGGGAACGGGTCCAAAAAATAATTTCCCTGGTGCCAAGAGTTTCGCTTTTTACCAGCAAAAGCGACAGTCCGTTAAGATGGATGGTAATTACCGGCACGCACAGGCGTACTTTAGCATAGCAATTACCCAATTACCGAGCCTCGTGTGCACTGTCGAATTGACGTGCTCTCGCGGTGCAGCTGGAGGCGGTCGTGTGTGCTTGTCGAATCGACAACGCCAACGACCTGGTCGCGAGAGATCCAAAGAGGAATGGATCGTTGCGTTTTGTGCTCGAGATGGTTCGTCGGGCTCTTTGCAGTGAGAAGAAAGAGGCTTTGATAGGAAAATTAACGTATTTGGTAGAAAAATG